AAATTGCTATTTTATTCAGAGCTGAGTGAAACTAGGAAATTCAGGAATCAAAGTGGATTGTAGCAAACAAGACTTGAATGAACATAGTTAACGCTAGAAGTTTAGAGTATGCATGAAAGCTGGATAAACGATTGACTGAAAAGTCAAATGAGTTATTCAAACTGAGAAGTTGGAATAAGAATCTGCTTTTTTTCACACCCTAAAATCACAGATAATGTATTGCTTTGTTTCAATCGTTTATATAAGAACCTTGTACGGTCGATTTCCTCCCTCTATCTCTTTTATAAATTTGCATTTTGTAAAAGCTGTAAGGTTGCCAAATTTAAATTACGCAGGTAAAAATTTTTTCGCTAGAGTAAAAGAGAAAACGCATAGGCCGAGATTCAAGTTTAACTTGGTAAAACTCTTACGTCGAATTTAAGTAGTTAATGATGTCGCAGCAGAGCGTCAGTAGCTTCGAACAAGTTTTGCTTTACTGCAACGGAATATACGAGGGAATTATTCAAAATTCATGGACGTAAAAAAGATGAGGATGAAAAGTATCGAATGCCTCGGCAGTGGACAAGTTTCTCTCTGCAGTTCAATAGAATTTAATTTAGATAAATGAATATTCAAGGAGTACGGTTGAGGTAAACTTTCTTAGAAGATTTTCCTTTCAAAATTTTCGGAGCTTTTTTATTTTTTGTGCAATTCTGCTTGGTTACGATGCGTTAAACGTTCAAGTTACGCCTCTTCACCTCTTTATTTTCACTTTTGAATTTTGACGTAGCAGTCTGCTAGAATATAGCAACTGGCTTCGTGTAACAAAGGGCATATCTTGTTGTAGCGATAGCTAGCTCAAAGTAACTTTCCGGTATTATTTTAATATGTAATCAGGGACTTATCCTCTTAAACGCAAGCCCAGATAATCTCGAAGAAAGCCTCAGTCGTCGTTGGTGTAATGCCTCTCGCAAAGCGGCGTAAGCACGAGGCGCTATACCTTCAACAACAATGCCAATCACTGTTGGTTTCGTCTTTTCGCATATAAGAGTCGAGAAAGTTGCAATAGGGACCCATCAAACGAGGCCAGGGCGCAAGCTGCAGGGGCGAAATTCAAACGAAGTCTTTAGCGGCAACGATACGGCGACCGGTATTTGAGTTGGAACGCGCTTGCATATATACACGCTACTACGTAGCTTTCCCGATGCGCACTTGGCCGCTCAGTCAGCTCGAGCGCGCCCGAGCGCTGGAGCTCGTCGTATATAAACGCTCCAGGAATGTTAAATCCGAGCTGCTAGAGTATTCCTTGGAATAGTCGTGCGGTAACTTTGCAAACCTCGAGCGCGCGTCGTTGTTTGCTTTGGCATGGGCGCTTCTTTCGCACTAGGACATTTTGAGGGATCTCCGGGCGAATTAACATGGCGCTAAAAAAGTTACGGTGGACCACTGGCTAAACGCTGTGTGCTGCGAGTGGCGGCGTTGGTTAGAGCGAGGATCACATATTTTTAACGTGTTACAGCGGTCGTAGCAGCCAGGTTAAAAAAAATAATAATTCCACTGACCGATGTGTATTTTCTAATCTTGCTACACGGGACTTGTCTTAAAATCGTAACGCAAATGACAACTTCTTGTATGAGTGCGTTGCTATATTCAAATCATAAATCAACGCTAATTTGACGCATTGAATTTTCATGCATTTCGTTCATTAACATAGCGGTGTGTTTTACCTTCCGTTAATTTAATAGAGTATAATAATTGAAAATATTCTCCTCGTATGCATGCGTTATATACCGCCCGTCGCATGAGCGGAAAAAAAGTAAGTAGCGCCCCGTTTTATGAAACAAGTTTAAAGCTGCGAGCTTAAAGTTATGAGAATTAAGCTTGTAAAGTGTGCAATCAAAAGATTTTCTTCCTTCTCGCTTTTTCTCCCTCGCTCTTTCTCTCTCTTTACTTGCACAGGACTTGTTTCGTGAGAGTTACTTGAATATGCGCGCGCGAGACAATGGTGTAGGCAACGAAGAGTAAGTTTTAAAGTGGAAAAAAACTAATGGTTACAGTGACGACGTTGGTCACGAAATATAACGAATACAAATGACCCATAATAATTTTAATATTCAACTGGAAATAATAACTTATACGTCTGAGAAAAATGAGTAAAGTCCGAGTTGAATAGTGAAGAAAAAAAACTGCAAGTGCGAGGTCGTTCACACGCAGTTAAAAATCTTTTCCAAATATTTAGCGCGCTCGATGCTCCTCGATCAATCTTGACTATCCGTAGTAATCAGTAAGACATGAAAGATTGTGTAAAACAGACGCGCGGGACGCTAGACGTAGCCCGGCGAGAAGAGAAAACACTGAGCGGAAGAAAAAAATACTCAGAACCTGTCTACTCTGATTCAAAGATAAATGAGAATTCTCGACTGTTTTTACTTTGACGCGCCGCTGCGGATCTGCGCGCATGAGATTAATGCACATGAAAGCAATTGGTTTAATACACATCCTGGGTATCAGTTTCTTTGAGAGGTCACTGACATTCGAACTAAAAATCTTTTACATCAAACTCCATTATCTCATTCGATTCAGCTATAGTAAAATGATTTGTCCTCGACATATTATTATAATTTCAATTTCCACAGCGTTACTCATGAGAACTGTCTCTACTAGAAATGCGCAACATTTATAAAGGCCTAATAATCAATTGACCATTTAAAACTTTTTTTCTGCTACAATTATGTTAAAAATACTGAGTGAACTTTAAATGATCCCGAAACAGCAATTTAAATGTTTCAAAAATGCAGACCCGATTTCAACTGATTTAAATACAATAATATCACTTTGAATCTTCGTCACTAGATGGCGAATACCTTTGTCTTGTCTAAATCTGCAAGTAGCAAAATCAGAATAACTGGATAAGTGAAAGTACAATATTTAAAAATCTTCAGTTATTAGACTTTGATCGCCGCTACCTATCCTATCTACGTTCCCATTCAATATTCTTTGTTTATCTTTGTTAACTATCACTGCGACTGTCAAGGGTTCTATATACCCTTTGTAACAATAATGATATTTCATTTGCATTTAACAATATTAGGCAACCGGTTTTTGTTTGTCTGCAGTTACTCAACGAGGAATTTATAATGACTCAAAATAATTGACAGTCTTTTTTACACACAATAAAGTTAGTCATTTAATTTGAATTATATATGCCACGAAGTTGGGCAGGCGAGTCGACGCGGCGCACGCGCGCGCATCTGAGCAAGCAGCTCTACTGCTGCTGCTGCTGCCGCAGTACACGTATAATTGTATTAATAAAACATATTTGCCGATCGATATGGGTCCATTAGGTGGAACATCGCATTACCCAAAACTTCGAGTCATATATGCGCCGCTTTTGCTGCTGCTGTGAATCCGGGAAGAGCAAAGTAGAGAGAGTAGCTATAACTCGGCCTCGTCGCGCGTGAACCTGGTGTGAACGATTTACTTACCGTAATTACTGCCTAACAGTTTTACGGATTAACTTGAATTTGCTCTCGTGGCTTGCTTCAAGCCTCAACTTTTTTTAAAAGGCGTGAGCACACCAACCCACGCAAGCTCGTCCCAACTTTGAATCAATTATCGAGCGCTTAAGCATATTATGTTATCTTTAAATAATCTGGCGTTTCAAATGCCGAACGCAAATTCACGAGCTATTACACTCAACTTATCGAGAGATCGTAATACTGTTAACAAACAAGATTTAAACCAATACCATATAATGAATTCTTAATCACCCAATTTTATACTCTCGTCGTCTTTTTTCTTGTTCTTTTTTCATTTGTTTAACTATACTGTTTACTGCCAAAGAAAACAAAAACAAAAAAGAAAGCAACATAGAGAGAAAAAAAAGTGGATAGGGAGGGCGCGCTTGCCTCTTGGACAACTCCTTCACAGAGAGAATTGCACGAGTCGCATCTTGAATGTCAAACGAGGCTGCTTGCTGCGTTTCTCCCCCGAGCGCTGCGCGGCGCACGCAGGAACGTGGTACCCTCGAGGCCGGCGACACTGTCACCTAAACGATCGTACGTGCCAAGAGCTTTATACTCCTTGTCCTCCCGCGCGAAGCCAGTTCTATCTTATCTTTGATTTGGTTTGCTTATTCCCCGCTGCTCGAGTACTTACTCTTTTACTCCCGCACCGACTCCGAGCCGAGCTTTACCGGGATTTCCAGAGAGCTTCCCCGAGTTCCTTTCACTTTGCAAGAGACTATAATAATGCAGTGCAGCGTGAGCGTGTGCGATAGCTTTGCTTGTTCGCGGATCATTTTAATTTCCTGCGTACGATTGTGTAAGTGATAAGCTTGCGGCACGACTAAATACGTCTTTATCGATAGGCGACCGAAAAGTTTGTTTACGGTAGAGCGAGATACACATAGACATACACAATTCTATGCGTCTTTTTGAATGCGAGGAGTATTTTCGAAATGTTATCGATCACGTAGAATCAATTTTTTTTTTTTCATATTTTCACGAATAAAAAGAAAAATCTTTTTTATACAGGAAAATAGGTGGTATAAGGCGGAGGCAATAGACATTAATAACAAGCAAACCACACACACGCGTCATTGTGTCGTGTTACTTTTTCCCACCGTTGAAATGTTTCGTATCGCATTGAGCCGGAAAATGCGAGAAAATGAACGAGATATGGAATTGCATTTTCCCTCGTATACTTCTGGCATCGCGCGCCCGCGCTAGATCTATAGCAATTCTTCTGTTTCACTTTTTGCGAGTCAATGCCTCGGGGGGGTTTTCATTCGAGCTGGTGACACAACTGGTAGTATCGCGCGTTGACTTCAATCATCTCAGGCGTCTCTCAAAAATATTGTTTATGATTCACACTTTCTAATCTTATCAGACCTACATTACTTTTTTATTTGAAAAAAAAACTAACGAGTTCCAATTTTTAAATGAGAATTCTGAAGCACGGAAAACTTTACCGATGGTTTTCTTACCTACTTCTCAATTTAATGTCAAACAGATTTTGGTCCGGCAGTTATGCAGTCAACTTTCAATTGTACTTACGGCAAAAGTTGATTCGAGTCGTGCTCGGTCACATGAACTCACCTGAAACAGAGAAAAAAATCAAGCGATGGTTAGTAAAGTCCATCGATCGGTCGTTTTTTTATATCAGTTCGCGACTGACAGCTCATGTCGAGCGAATACATAGAGTGAATAAGGAGCAGAGCGAGTGCGAGAGAGTAGAACGCGGGCACAAACGTCTCGCTGGCGCTGCTGTTGCTGCAGCGCTCGAGTATAACGACATTAATCAATTAGTTTGTCAAGCCCCGAGCAAACAAACGACGAGAGCGAGAGAGTCGGGCTTCTCGGGTACCCTTGAGACGAAACACGACGATGAAGAGAATCGTCAAACTCGTGTTACCGCGCCGCACCGCCACGCCGTCTAGCGTGGCACCTACATTTACATACTGATTAGCATATATTCTCTCGATCTCTTCTCCCTTTCCTCGAGCTCAGCAGCCGCGCGCTGATGCTTTCGATTCGAGTGTGCGGTATACTACGACGACGACGATGGTGGTGGCTGCGCTGCTGCTTCTACGCGCTGAAAGCAATCTAGGCGATAGCTTCTCACTCCTCGAGCGCGCGGAGCGAGGCACGCGCGCGCCGCGTGGTGTAATGCACATTCAATGCGATCGAATTGCATATTTTATTATATCCGGGGGTGAACGAGAGCCGAGGTACATAGGTGCCATCGTCGCCACCTATCCTATCTACCCGAACTTGCGTGGCTATATGTACGCGCTGTACGCTTGCTTTTTCGCCTTCGAACTTACAAGCAGCAGCGACGTACCGTATAGATATACCTGCATTCTGTATTTTAAAATTTAATTAGCGGGTTAGAGCGATGCAAGCGAACAGGAGCAGCAGCTGCAACTGCTTTTGACACGAAACTTGGCAATCGCGAGGGCTCGATTCGGCCATATAGCGCCAGCAGCGGTGCTGGCCACAACATAGCTTCGTCAAAGGGCGAGCGCCGAGGTTTCGCGCAAAAGTACACATCGAGCTCGTCTGGATGCGCGTGGCTACGTCGAGTTCAACCCAGCTTGGAGCTGTTTCAAGTACGCGATATTACGTCCGATCGAGCGTGAGTCTCAGCAGCGTGAGCAAAACTCGAGGAAGCAGTTATGGAGCTTGAAAAGATCCCCGCGACGAGCTGCTCGTGCGCATCGCTTGAAAGAAATTAATTTCCAATGTAAAAAACTTAGTCTGTGAGCTGGCGTGGAAGAGTGGCTGTGCTAAAAAAAGGGGGGGGCCCATGATGATGAACACGCTGCTGCGTCGGCAAGACGCCGTAGCACGATGACGAGAGTTGCTACCACCGCTGCTGCTGCTGCTGCTACGCTGCTAATAAACGCATCCACTTGTTTCGCTCACAACGCAGTCATATAGGTATACGTGTACGCGATGCATACTGCACTGCACAGTGCACACACACATACACACTGCAGCACGCGATGAGCGGCGCGAGCGCGCTTCAAAACTCGAGCCCTCTCGTTCCCGCGTCCCGCGGGTATAATTAAAAAGTAGAAATAATCCACACCACGCGACGACGACGACGACGACGACGTCTGGAAATGTAGGTCGAGGGAGAAATCGTTAGTAAGCTGACAGTCTTTATCACTTTTCGCGGCACAGAGGCACAATTTTTGCTCTCGCACAAACCTCGCTGCTGCCATGCACATCGCGCAATAAGTTGAGATTTTCGAAGCTTCCGTCTTCTATCGCCACAACGGGAAAGGCATGAGCGTGGCGGTATTAACATTTTTTTCTCCGACATTACGATGAATCGATAGAGGCATGTGAATGGAAAAATTTTGTAAAGATCCAGTCATTTTCCGCAATCATTCAGAATGTTTCGATCGTAATAAAATTAATTGTAATGGCAAAACTTGGTACGTCTGACCAAATTTTGAGTAAAACTACTAATTGTATCAAAGTCTAAATTATATTTTTAACTTTTTATGATATATATTTAATTAAATAAGCTCAATTTTTGAAAAAATTTGAGCTTGGTGTTTTAGCAACATGCTAGGCATTTCACCCGCATTTTTGCAACATCAAAGGCATCCATGTTTTGTAATTTAACAAGATAAAAAATAAAATGCTGGCAAGAAAAATCATCACAGGACTATTCAATTTCGACTAACGTTTTATCCATCGCAGATCTAATCGGTAAAAAGAGAATACAACATCTTGATTAAAATAATGTAAATATAGATTTACAAAAGATAACACTATACCGTCAAAAGATGCGACATTCATTTTAATTTTAGATGCTAAAAAAGACCGCATGCAGGTAAACAATCTCTTTCTCTTGTGTGAGACTCTCTTTCCTTTGAAAACAAATTCCGCGTGAGACTTTAATGATGATTTTTAAGAAGTTCGCGCGTAGCAAAAGAAAGAGAGCGCATCCATAAAACAAGAAGCCCGGCATCAGAGTGTTTTTCTCCTCAGCTGTATGAGCTGACAAGAAAAAAGAGAAGAGAGAAAATTCACGCGATATCGCGGGAGGTGCTAGATGTAGGTCACTTCTCTCTCTTTTCTCTCCCAAGGCAAAAGTGTATATACACGTACACACACGACCACATACTCGCGTGTGTGTATCGATGTAGTTGCCAGTTGCCTAGAGCCGCCTTATGGATAGACCGCTCGAAATAATTCAACGACCGATCGATGCCTCTACCTGACTTAAAATAACATTTGCTGCTCTCGAGCTAACAGAGAGAGAGCTACCCCAGCGGGCGGCGACTCTCTTGCAGCGATGCCACATCTTAGTCGTCGTCGTCGTCACCGACTGAGGGAAAATTCGAATCAGAACAAGCTGCTCTGCTGGCTAAACCGGCGCTGTCACGAGCTTCTCGCGAGTAATGCAACTAAAAGAAAGTGTAATTTTAATTTCTCTCGCTCGAAGAGAGAGACAGATGAAACGCCCGAGAGCGCTTGTAGGAGCTGCTGTGACAATGAGGGTAGCGTCGCGTTGCCACCGTTTGTACATATAAAGGGCTTGTGTTTCGTCAAGTAAGACAAGGCCGCGGCTTTGAAATTAGCCATGACACAACATGAAAGAGATAAAGACGCGATCTGGGACTAAAACTGGTGCATTACGTGCAATGCGCTGCTCAAAGGAATAAAAGAAAAGCCAACGAAGCGTCGTCGTCGGCCGCTTTCCCTGAAATTACGTTACTACTGCTGCTGCTGCCGCTGCTGCTGCTGGTTCTTCGCGTTATATACTGCCGCTGTGTATACGTCTCTTGACAGCAGAATAGCAACTTCGCACGTTATAGAGCGCAGTCGCTCGACGTTTTGCTGAGTAGTATACAAGCAACTGCGGATTCTGAAGGCATCACGCGACGAGCTTGCTCACGAGAGAAGTGACTTGAGCGCAGCAGCAGCAGCAGCTATTTTGTCAGCCTTTGTTAATTGTCACAATTCGCTTGAATATACTTAACCTTTCGTTTCTAAGGAGCTGCGTTTGCAAGAAGAGATAGAAACCGAGTTTATGCGACGTAGAGATGTCCGGTACGCGGGGATTTCTGAAGCCAAACGCGATCGTATAATGCTCGAATGAAAACGCAGGTGTAAACTTCCGCGGGATTCCGAATGCATATACGTGTTTATTACATTTCACGCTTGACCTCGACACGATTCCAACAAAAAGCTCTTAATTTGCAAAATATTATCGGGTATGGGCGAATTTGTTAGATCATATATTCGAACCGCTATACACCGCGTGTACGCGTAGGTTCGGTGTACATATTTGCCCGCGAGTCAGCGGGGGGGAATAATGTTGCGTATGTGTGTGCGCGCGTGTGTACGCGTATAGTGTTTGTGCGCGATCGAGAGAGGAGCCGCAGCCGCTGCGGAGGCCTGCGGGGGTACAACTACTACTGCCGCTTACAAACCACGATAACGAATGTCATTGTCTATCGAAATAATAATCAAGCCGTTTGTACGGCACATTGGTGCATGACGCCATACGCGCACTGTGCAGGCACACACACACACACACACGCATAGAGCGCTAGAAATTCTCGAATGCCTCACTTTCCATGAATATTCAATCAGTTTCCGATACACACGGATACAACGCGGATACACACGAATGAGAGAGAGAGAAAGGTTCTCTAGGTACAGCGGGGGCAAATATATACAGAGAATCGAGCGATGCCACGCGCTCTGTGTGTCGCGATGTTGTTGTTATACCTCGCTGTTGTTGTAGTTGTTGTCTCAATAAGGCCTGGGCGCTGGACGCAGAAAAAAAGGATGAGGAGGAGGAGGAGAACGAATGAATCTCTTTTTGGATGCTGTAAAATGCTTTATGCGTGTTTCACGTCATGCGGGTGGTGCTGCTGCACACTCGAGCAGGCACGCATGTACGCACGCAGAGCAGCGAGAGCTTCGAGTGACAATGATGATAACGATATGGCCGAGTGATGGATGTTCGAAAGATTTGCACAGAGCCGCGCGGCCAGCTATAAATCCTATGCTAATTGACGTTCCTGCGGCTGAGGATCAGCGCGTAACGCGCAGCGGCGGCGTTTCGCGGACTATCGTGTCGCATGCGCGCGCGGGCCTGTCCTTTCCAAGCTAGTCTTTCCAAATCCGATGGCAATCTTCTTTTCAATCCACACGAGTTTACGAAAATGTCAAACCGAGAGGCAGACTCTCCAAGCACAAGCTTTGCCGTAGTATGGCTATTGGATTCGAACTACTACATTGACAAGCTCTGTGATGCGATATGGTCTGCGATGTGTATTTTTCTTTCCATATTTTTTCCTCTTTTTTTTATGCATTTTGTGTATTCACGAATTATCGAATTGTCAAGAATTCATATTTCCCTAAAAGACAGCGCGAGAGACCCGCTTTCGAGCTTTTGAATAAGTGGGATTATGAAAATACGATTTTGTAACCGGCGTGCGGTGCGGCAGCGTAGTGGTACGGCGTGTTGCTGCTGCTGCCGCTGCCGCGAGCTCGGCGAGAGAATAATCGGCCTAAAAACTTTTCCGGCATAATAATCGTATACTCTCGTGCGGGCTTGCAAGCGA